ACTTAGGGTCGCAACCGATGTAGCAGAATAACACAATTAAATAGCCCTTCCCAATAACACTTACATATTATATACTTACATAGATACTTTAATCACTAACGGCATAAAGCGTTGACGAGGCTTATTCAATATTCCCAATTATTTAAAATAAATTCTCACTTCAAAAATATTTATAAATAGATTTATGTAAAAGTAAACGCGCAATTAAAAGTAAGTCATTTCCAGTTTTGAAATAATTGAGAAAACTTCGTGGCACATCTTTCTCAATTTTCAACTATATCAAGTATCACATGCATTAGGTGCTAAACTAGACTGGAATCTATTCAGTTTAAGTTTAAGGATTATCTTTATCAACCCGATGCTGCATTACTTGGTGATTTAGTGAACCGCTTATAACATGAGCGCAATGTAAGCACTCGAGTGTGAAGAAGATTAAAGTGGATTTAGGCGGAGATTCTGACGCCGCTGATTTAGATTTATTCGCTTGTAGTTCCGACCTCCTTCACTCAAACTAAATGTGATTTCTTGAGGAAACTAACATAACTCTAGAATGTCTTACATTTAAAAATCAAGCGTGAGATGGGTTAATTCGAATCTGTTCGTAATAGCATATTACATTACGCATCACATCAACAGCCTTTAATAGCATATGCTAAAAATAAAAAATCGGTTGTCTGTAAAGTCGCTTTACTGACGATAGTTGAACGTGACAACGTCATAAGAAAATACTAATGGAATGGTTGCATTTTTCAAAAGAAAATTTTTATTTGTTTAAATTTTAAAATGTGTATGTATATATATATACATATGTATGTATATATATGTATATATGTACATGCATATGTATATTTATTTATCAATATGGATACATGAAAACAATAGTTTAAATATAAAATAATAATATTAATTAATGTTTTAGTTATAGATATTGTGTAATTATTACACACTAACCAAAATTAAAAAAAAGGAAAAAAAAAAAGTTTGTTAAGTTGACGCAGTATCTTAGTTTCTCATTTAAACACATGACACTTTGTCTGTATTTCGATTTTCACTAGATTAATTTTATGTATTAATCTTCCATATACTATACTTACCGTACTACGCATCCAATAAACAATGAGCCATACAGTTAAGCACTCGCTCATGCAACACGTAACTTTTGAAAATGGTCACTTAGTTCGATGATAACTACACTGCCGCAACACAGTTTTTACTAGTGCGGAGGGTAGCTGTCACTACCAGCTGCTATCACTTGTTAAGATTATGTTATTCTGTCTCATTAGGTCTATGTTGCTCATGGAACAAAAAATAATTATCAATATACTTGTTATTCTGGTTTTAAGAATTATACTTACCCTTATGTTTAGCTTAAGATAAGTTAAAAGTTAAATATGTTGAAATAGCTACCTACATTCATGTTAAAACAATAAATATTTTTTATTTATTTTATTACTTTTCTGTCTCTTTATATGTGAGTTTACTTAACCATGCATAAGTTTTTATTTTTGTCTCTGGTACTGTATTCAGACGTATGTTACAGAATTTTGAAGCTAGGGTTTTAGAAGAATTTCGTTAAAGTAAATACTTCACGGCTTCACGGCGCTTAAGTTAAAACCATTTCAGTATATTTTCTGGTATGGATTGTTATATGGTATACCCTGCAGTAATGCCTCTTACTTTTCTTCTCAACTAGATGATACCAATTTAATTTACTATTCTAGCAAGGAAGGAGCGGATCCAGTATTTAAAGCGTTCTATTTCTTCTTCGCTTTTCCTCATTTTCCAAGAGCTATAGATAGAAACAGTCCTGTCACGAACTGATTCAATGGTCCTGCTGGGTAGGTGTAGGAGAAAATCCTGAATTTACAAAGAGCTTACAAAACATGATCGTGCAACGAACGTGCTAGTAAGTGGAAGGGAGGTAGGTACCTCTACTTAGATACACAATTTAGTAGTTCGATTCGAAAAGTCAGACCTATTCCATGTCAGATCAAAAATATAAATATAAATGTAAGGACAAGTTATTTGTCAAGATTGTAATTACAAGATTCATATTATAATCTTTTATCAATTTCTATTTTTTTCTCTGATAAGGAACTTACCCGTATATAACAGATTTTTATTATCTGATTCAGATGTGACATAATATACTTTAATAGACATGAGAGATATTTTTGTTCTATAAAGTCAAGAACACGGCACGCGGCTCGCTTTGTTCTCAATTTGCAACCGTTGCGACCATGTGTTATAATTAATATTAGAAAACGTGACCCAATTTACTGACATTAATAAAGACTAGATTTTTTAATAAGCTCCTATTCTAGCCGTTTTTACACGATTTAGACTACATACCACATATTCACTAGTAAATAATGATGATGATGTAACTATTTTGACTGCTAAATTTACACACATCAGGACAAAGAATTGTGTGATGAGCACGGACTTTTGTTCTGTGTCTGGGTGTACTTTATCTAAATTATGTATGTATTTAGAAATATATAAGTATGTTTATCAGCATTTTGGTTACCATAGTATAGACTCTGCCTAGTTTGGGATCAGACCGCCGTGAAAGTTCAGATGTGTGAAAATATTAATATTTTATTATATTATTATTACCCAATTTAACCACTCGATTTAGCCATTGAAAAGTTCTCCAGTGAAGATTGGGTAAAAAAATAGTAGCTAATCAAGACCTTATCAATGCCATGTCCAAATCAAGCCAAGGAAGTAAGAAAAATGTATTTGAATAAATAAATATTAGTCTTTCATGTAAAATAAAATTAATTTGTTGGTAATGGATTAAATTTTCACAAGTCGAACAACGAATTAGGAAAGGTTGGCCCCATGGTGATGATAAAGTAAAGGCTTACACCTACAGTTTGTCGACAGCAATTAGAGTTGTAATGTAAATAGCGGGTTGAGGCAACAAGTGGGTCAACCAGGGCCGCGGCCACCCCGCGCCGTCCCGCACCCCTCACACCTCACGAGTGGGTCATGAACAAGCCGTGTTCATGACCTATTTTATCTGAAATCTCCGCCGGATATCAAAGCGCGTTTATGTGCTAAATGTAGTAACCTCGTGGGGTGAACTTACACAATAATTCTAAGCACGTTACATTTGTAATTAAAATACTGAAAACGTGTATTGCCACACTAGTATATAAACATCAATTAAAGGACGAACGTTTTCAGTGAAATATCGTTATCGTAACGCTATATAAGAAGGTTTACACATAAAGAAAGCTAAATTATAAAAACTACTATGTTATCAGTAGACCTACTCGTATTAGTAAAGACTTGTAAAATTGTTGTTGGGGTAGAATATTTCACCCAAAAATATTCTACAATTTTTTTTCAGAGACATGATATTGTAGGTAGTAATGCACATTACATACCCCAATGACAACAACATTATGTATGTAGCTAAATTAGAGAAGGTGCGTTTTGAGAACAAATTATAGTGCGTAATTGTAACCGAGCTTAAATGATTTATAAATTTATTTTAGAAATCGATCTTTTTAGGCTTTTACGCTATTAGTTTCTCAAAATGAGTGCCCACATTTTCTGTTACTAACCTTGAGAAAAAATGACGAAACAATCTCAAGGCTTATGTACCATTAAGGGTTGGACTTTTAGCTGTTAATTTTATATGCTAACAAGATACTAATTTGGGCTCAAAAGATTTTAATTTTAGACCTGTCAACTTCCTTTGAAAGATCGGCTTAGTCATCAGTACTAAAGTGTTGATCTTGTTTAGCTGTTAAGAAGGGTACTTTGACCTCTATAGAATTTGAAACCTTTTTGGAGGGAGGGTGGTACGAAGTTAGTGTCACATAATTGTGTGTTAACGAATGTGAAGTTCATTGTATTTAAAAGCGTCCATCAGTTAGGTCATGCAACTGTTTGCTAACTGTAAAAATGTAGTAATACAGAAAAACAATAAAATAACAATTAATTTAATATCAATTAATGACATTGAATAAGTAGTTAGCGTGGGGAAACCTTACTTATCCTAATCTATTTAGGTCTGACTTACTTGTACTTCTTGAGGAAAAAGTTTGATATGAATCGCAAGTGAAGCAATAAAAGGGCCCTGCAATCTAATATAGTTCGGGAAAAAATATTGATTTTCTCAGCTGTGTTGTATTTTAATTCTCCATCTGTTGCTCTCCATAAAATTTACGACAGTATTATTGAGTCGTTATTTTTGTATGAAGAGTTTTATCGCTGCGTGGTGTTACTTTCCATGACACGATTTCTTATTCAACTCAAGGGTTTTATAGAGATCGCTAATAAAGAACATTTTTTAAGGTTATGAAAATGGTGTTCGCTAAGACTTTTCCATATTTATTGAGTATGTTCATAAGATAGTCAGAATTGGCGATTGTAATGCGATTTTTATTTTCTAACTACAACAATACTAACGAACTTACTGTAATGATATTTGTTTTTTGCAATACTACAGCAGATTTATGTTTAAATTAGAGTAGTTCAACCCCAATTGAAGACTGGATAGATAAAGCTACTGACGTAGTGCAGATTTTAGACCGATGCGTAGGGTTAAAATGAAATGTGTTTTCATTAAGGCGGAAATAAATAAGGCTTAGAACCAAGAAGCATCTTGAAAAATATATCTACTACTACTTGGTATATTTCTTATTCCAGGTTTTAATTTTTTTAAGATGTTAATGTTGTTAACAATCTAAAAAGCCACGTACATAAACAACCTATATAAGCCGTGAAGATAAATGTATGGATTTCATGGCTTAAAAGTTCTTCATAAATACAGCCATATTAAACCAAAATGATAGGTATACTAAACAGGATTATATTTGTGAAATAAATATTAAGAATTAATTACTTTCTGTGTTTTTTTTCTGAATTTGTTGTAACTGCTTGAGTATAGTAAAAATTTATCAAGCAAAAACTTACAAACTAATATTAATACCTCGCCCACTCGTGATATGAATGTAACTCTGTGTATTTATTTTTTACAGATGGTGGCGACGGAAGACACATCGAGCACCGTACCCGGCCAAATAGAGTCCCCAGGAACATTCGGAAAACTACGTCAAACACTCTCTTCGTCACTACTCACCGCCCAGGACAAAGGTAAACTCACACTAGATCTTAGCCGTTTACTAGAAAAGCAGTGCTCCTCGTCAAATTACAGATGTAAGGCTACCGCCATTGTACTTTCTGGAAACAGCCAATTTGAGTGTGTGTATGTATATGCTACAAACTTGTATCGAAAATTTTATACCTATAATTGTAGATAATTCTATAAAATAGATTCAATCAAACATATTACTTATGAAAAATAGGCATTGTGCAATCTATTAATATTATGCCTATTCATCATTATTACCATCAACACTCTTTAATAATCCACTGCTTGTCATACTCGTAGGCCTCTCCTAAGAAAGGAGGTTTTGGCCTACTAGACCACGCTGGCCAGACGGGTTGGTGAGGAATAACGATTGGATATCTAGTGGAAAATCTAACTGATATTAGTATTAGTTATATTGATTAGTAGTAGTAGAGTATTAGTTAGTTATACTGATATTAGTGGATGAAAATAGAATAGCTTTTATATCAGTATGTCAATAAAAGTAACAACAATTTATGAGTTATAAGGTGAAGGCGATAGTGAATAGTCAGTCAGACAGTCACGGCAGATCAGAGAAAAAATGCATGGGAGGATATATTGATGACGACTTTTTGCAAAAATATAGTGCTTCTATAACAAAAGCTTTAATAAATAGTTCAATATTTATACACATAGTACAATAGTTGTACTATTTTTTGTCAGTGTATAGCGAGTCGTATTATGTATGACATGTGTAACTCTTACGCTATACATAACATAGATCTATTATTACAGTGCTAAAAGCAAAAATATGGTAAAAACCAATTGTAAAGAAATTAAACAATATTACTTTTCAGAATGGTGGTATTGTTAAAAGATATAACCTAGTTCATACTTAAAACTACTGAATTGCAGTTCAATCTTCCTATGAAGTTAAAGCCAAAGAAACTCCTCACGTCCAAATTGAATCGACATTGAATGATGAAAAAACATTGCCCTTTTTACAGAACATAAAATGAAATAGCAAATTCCTGAGTTTAGCAATGCGTAAAATTGATCTGACGGTTCAGAAATGTATTCATTCGAAGCATTAACTAACTTTCAAGGATGTTTGAAATATTTCAATCATTCATATATTTTGATCACGATGATCTGTAATATTATATCATATAACATTAAACCAAATATGACATTATATCATGTAATATTTTCACGTGACGCGGTAAAATCAGGAGAAATATGTAATCTGAAGCTTTTGCCTTAACCATGTCATGACTGACTATGTCTACGATTGTAGGTTGTTTGAAGAAAATAATAGTGGGTCGCCTTGGTAATCGCTATAACTAATTATAATTAATTTCTTCGAGATTAGGTAAGTTATCAAAGTACCTACAGATAAAATACAACTGAAAAAAGTAAGAATTTCTCTAATATATTGTAACCGTTTTGTCACTTAATTTGTAAACAAGGTGTTTTTTTATCAAAAATGGCAAAATTGTCTTTATAAATAGCTTCTTTATATTTATAATTAAAAAAAAGTAACTTAACATTCCACAACAACAATTTTGATATTTTTACAGATATAAATTTTGCTAGGACATTCTGAAACAGACCCTTATTACAGGCGATAGCAATAAATCTTGAAACTATTCGTGTGTTGTAGATTGGAGCGCTGTTTTGTGTTTGTTTCTCCTAGGATTTTATTACCCTTATTTATGTGGACCTTACACCGCAAACGCTAACTCAATCCTGTGCATAAATTAACCCTGCTACTACACGCTACAAGTATGACTTTTAGTAATTTTCAATCATTGTTGGATTATCGCTATTAGATTTCTGAGTTTAAAGAAAATGGGATTTGACACATCCTAGTTCCTGACCTGCGTCCTTTACGCACATTTTCTACATTCATAAATCATACCGGATAAAGCTTTATATGTTGTTTTATGTATGTGATATTTTATACTATTTCCACATTATAAACAAACACATATAATTCCGTGAATTGCTTGTAAAGTGTAACGAAAAAAAACCTCATTCTTATATTGTTGTAAGATTTTCTTTCATATAGGTTATGTCGAGGTAGACGACGGACGGCCAAAAGTAAATTTTCTAATAATACTAATAACTTCACACATCTCACACACGGCCGCCTGGTTCCAAACTAGGCAGAGCCTGTGCTATGGTAACCAGACTGCTGATAAACATACTTATATATTTCTAAATACATACATAGTATAGATAAATTACACCCAGACACAGAACAAATTATCGTGCTCAGCACACAATTATTTGTCCTGGGTGGGAATCGAACCCACAACCTCCGGCTTAGCAGTCAGGGTCACTAACCAATAGACCAACAGGGCCGTCAAATCTATCGCTTACTTGCAAATTTATTTTAATCGCTTAAGCCCAAACATCACAATTCACACATGTATTTTTGAACAGACTATTTGTAATTGTTATAAAATACAAAGGATACGAAGCATTAAATATCTAAAGGTAATTCTAGATGATAAACTCTCTTACAAAGACCACATCGTGGTTACTGCTGCTAAAGCAAGGAAACTAAATTACGTTGTAAGATAACTTAGAGATGTTGCTGATTTAAAACGAAATACATATCATTGTGTCAATCCATCCTGACTTACTGTTTAAATATGGAGCTGCAGCTGCAAAGCACTTGATTATTTTAGAAAGGGCTCAGAGATCAATTATAAAAGTTATGTTGAAGAAACCATTGAGATTTTCAATCACTGAACTCTATAAAGAAGCTGTAGTATTAAGTATTAGGCGATTGTACATATTTGAAGCCTTCATTTCCACACATAATAACGTGTTAAACGCCCCTGATTACAATAAATTGCTCATGCAAATAATTTTTGAAAGTGCCTGTTCGTAGAAACAAATCACCCTTAGCAAACCGCTCTCAAAAGTTCTTGTTTCCATATCTTTACAATAAGTTTGTCAATGAATATAATTTCAAACACGATGCAATACGGGACGCTAAACTCAAAATAAGGAATAACATAAGCTGTCTTAACCATAAAGAAACCGTACAATTGCTAAAAATTTCAGCATAAGAATGAAAACTGACAGACACACAAACGCACACGCACGCACGTGAGTAAGCCTGCACAGCACACTGCCACTCACAAACACATCGACTCACACACTCGCGCACACATAGCTCAAACTTCAACTTAGTCAATTAAAAAAGTATAGATTTCAGTAAACGGTGATCTCTTTCAATTATTTTTTATTAGATTTATAACATTCTAATATTATTACTACTGTCCAAATGTACAATCGTTTTTGTATCGATAGCCTCGATACAGGCTTAGCCTAGTGTGGCCACCACTTTAAATAAATTATGTAAATCTGGACTTCTGGACTGAAATTTATTATTAATTTATATTAATCCCAACAAAAATTACTTGGGAAAAGTAATTTGAGAGGTACCTTATCGCCTTTACTGTACCCCTAACAAGGTTTGTTAGAGGACATGGATTTTCCAGCGAGTTCGAATTAATGGAATGCGACCCAAAACTGCTTGAGTTATTATTTATGTTATTTTGTTATTAAAAAAAGACAACACCCGCACTAGGAATAAACCCTGTGTCGCGTTGGACTTTAGAAACATACATGAAACGGACACAAAGTATAACCAGACAATACTGACCAAACTGACGTATACGAAAGTTGTTGATTGGTCATACGCATGTGTGCACAACACTAGATAAAATACACTTACTTATAGGTTTTCTTCGTATCGCAATCCTAAAATTCATCTTAATAGTCATTGGAACTAGTGGCAGAAATGTGCGATTAGGGAATTATACTGTATAATTGATCGTGAGAATTGATTCGTGAGTGGTGACGGTTCGATATTCAGTGCCTGTTGACTTTTGTATTTTTGTTTTCATTACAGGATATATATTTTTTGAAGTCTGTTCCTTTAAAATCACTGTAGTTTACGGAAAAAGGATATAATATGTAATAATAAAAAAGTTATTATTTTTCATAAGATAATTTATTTATATCATTATTTACCTATAAAACAAACCAAATTGTGAAAGTAAAAACATTTAAGTAAAATATTTTCGTAAACTATTTTGATTGCTTATACAATTTGTTCTTTTTACTTTACAGAGGTTTATAGCTTAATTTGTTTATTTTCTCAAGGAAAAGAAGATTGAAACTTAACCTCTATATCATCATAAAGTAAATGATTACTATCACAGCCAGCACATCCCCTAAATTGACCTGAGAAAAAGGAATTTCTATTTAAATATAACATTTTTTTTAAATAATATTTAGTGCGACCTCGATTGTTATTGACTTACTAAAAAGACGTTGATGCATGGAGGTCACTAAACCACATACGTTTTCTATAATTTTTAGATTAGGGAATCGCGCTGGCCATGCAATAACCTTGATATCCGAATGTTGACGAAACCATTAATTAAAAAATAGCACAGTATATCAGACAATTATCTTGAACAAAACACTTTCACTAATGTCTTCCACGTGATAAATATTTTTCACAGTAGGTAGCATTACGGCGTTCGTCGATGTAATTGGGATGTAAACTCGGTTCCAAAAATAACGGGTCAGTCATATAAACCCGAATATCTCCCGAACTACGTATGCCATCCTAATGAAACGAAGACTGTTCAATTGAGAATTTAATTATACAGATAAAAAATAAAATAAAACTTAAATCTAAAGTCTCTAACTCTTAACTTATCTCTAAATTAAAAAAAAAAACTAAAGTAGTCATATTTTTCTTAAGATTACATTTTTTTTTATGATTGTTTTTTGCTGTTTTTCATCACCTTCTTCATTTAATATTGCCTCTTTGTATTGCCTCCACGAGCTCTTCTGAAAGCTTCCAGGCGATTAGGCATGCTGTACACCAAATTTCGGAGCCGGGGCTGAGGAATACCTTCCCATTCCTCCACCAGTGCTTGTTTGAGCTCGGGAAGCGTGATTGGTGGGGGGTTTCGACCTTTCACGCATC